AGTCCATATGTGAACTTGGTTTGCCATTGGCCAGGTCAAACAGTCAAAAATTGCCTTTGTGCAGTCAAAACCCTAAAAATGACCATTTTGCCCTTTTGGTGATCTGATCAAATTTCTTGTGGAATTGTGATCCAAACTTGATCAAATGGTTCATAGGAATTCTTAATGTTGATGTGGGTCAATTTTCATGAGGTTTGATTGTCAATTGGCCACAATTGACTTTTTCCCCAATACAGCTGATTTCTAGGTCAACTGTGCAATTGACTGGACAAAACTTGGAATCAAGACTTGAAACTTGATGAGGATAAACTTGGGAGTCCAATATGAAGCAAGAAAGTCATCTTAGGCATTTTAGGTCAAAACATCTTTGTGCAAACACAAACCCTAATTTGGGTCAGCAGTGCAAGGAGAAGTCTTGAGCAGATGAAACCTTAACTGGATCCTGATCTTCAAGGGCTTTGTGATGAGAAATCAATGAGAAATGGGAGGTCAAATTTTGGGGTACAACAGCATGCTTTTTATCTCATCTTTTAAGCCATTAATGTTAGTCTGGTAAGTATTAAGCGTGGTGGCAATTTTGTTAAGGTTATCAGTATAATCCTTAGTTGTTGTTTCAGGGGCTGCATGGGCTTCCGCCATGTTGACATTTTCGTAATAACCAGGAGGAGTCTCCGGGTCACCCATATCGGACATAATATCATCAAATATTTGGTAATCTTGCGGTGTCTCAGGTGTAGGAGGTAGGTCGGGCGGGTTTAGCTCGTAGAGCCAGTTGTCACGGTTGTGGACGCTCACTTTGTCATGGTTCGGAAGGGTAAATAAGTTTACAAATTCATCTCTTATTAGATAATCATAAGGTGGGTAAGCATGGTTTGCTATCATTCGGAGGTTAAAGCAAAAAGCAAGATTCATGGGACGAATCGTACCAAAATGCGGGCACCTATTCAGCTGGTGTCTTAGGCCGAGGGCATGTGCAATCATTGTGACCAGGCCACCTATGATGATTGGTTCATCAGGGTTATCTATAATGCGGCAAAAAGTTTGCATCAGGAAGGGTACGGCATTAACAGGGTGGCCTTGGTGCATACAATACAGTAAAAATATCTCGTCTTTGGACACGGCAGTCTGGTTCTCCTCTTTCCCAAATACAGTATGGGCTAGCATCTTATGGAAATAGCGGATAGCAGGGTTATGAATTTCATCGTTATCCATATTATCCGGGTCGGGGTGATAATTACCAGTCAAGGTGCCCCAAAAGTAGTCTAGCTCAATGTCCATTAGCTCAACCTGGGTAGTGGAAAAGGCGAAAGGGCCGCTAGGAAATCCTAACAAGTCAGCTAAGTCCTTATGATTGTAAACAAAATTAATGCCGAAGAGACGGAAACTTATGAATCCTTTACGGGTTCCTTTCCCGTGTTCTGGTAAATGGACTAGGGAGCTTAGGAATTCGAAAGTGAGCTCACGGTAGGTAGCAAATCTAGTCTTAATAAGGGCTTTTTCCCACCCCAACTGGTTAAACAAGTACATAACACTATCTAATATGCCTAGGGCATTCATAGTTGGTTCATCATGATAAAGTGTTATGCCTATGTTTCTTTTAGACAATTCCTCGAATTTTCTTTTCTGATTTATACCCCTAAAGGTGGTTTCTAAGAAATTATGTTGCTTTGGTTCCATGGGTATTGTTAGGGAAACTAGTCAGAAGAGAAGGTGCAAAAGAAACAAAAACTTTTCAGAAATCCTGTGGCAAGTAAAATTATTTTGAAATCAGCAGCAGTTTTCATGAAAATTATAACATAAGAAAGAAAAATGAAAATGAAACTTTAAATAGAAATAAATGCAAAAATGAAAAGAATAATAACTAACAATTGACAAATAGGTGGGTTGCCTCCCACTTAGCGTTGTTTTTAACGTCAAAAGCCTGACAGCTCAGGAGTGCAAGCACTCATGGTGGTTCTCTCGAGAATGACTCCTCGGTTGAAACTTTTAGTAATCATCGTTTTCCATGGCCACTTATCAAGCCATCTCACATATCCCTCACCTTTTCTTTTCTTTCTTCTGTGGGGTGGTTCATTCTTCTGAACTTGTGGTGGTGGTTCTGGATCTATCCTAAGTATCAACTTTTCAAGTTTGGGGTTAGTGATTTCATTCACCACCTCAAAGGTTAACCTTGCCTTCTTAACAGTAATTATATCCCTAGTTTCACGGTCCTCTAATTTTCTCTTTTTACGCGAGACTTCCAACAAGGGTGCATTAGTGTGGATATTTTCCAATACCTCCACATATGTCTTAGATTGGGAGTCTATCTGAGCTTCCATAAAACTTTTTGAGAAAGGAATCAGTGGGGTATATGGATGAGGAACAACAATAGGTGCTCCCTTTTCTACCTCTTCTACGACCTCCCTTTTAGATGGTGTTGGAGGATTTTTCTCAATCTTTACTCTTTTCTCGTCTGAACTCTCCTCATCCACATCATCACTTTCCTCAACTTCATTATCGCTCTCCTCAACCTCATTATCGTTCTCCTTAGGATTTTCAACTTGTTTTTCACTAATGGTTGTTACAACATCCAAGTTTTCCTCAAGGAAGGGTCCTAGAGGGTTTTGTTCAAGCTGGGAGATTTAGGTCTCTAAGGCTATGTTGTGGGTCGCGAGCGAGTCAACCGCAGTGGTCAGTTGCCGAAGGGTTTCACTGTTTTGAAGACTTTGTTTTCTAAACTCTTCGTTCTGGACAATTTGTGTCTCTACAAAGTGCTCCATCAGAGATTCTAACCTAGAGTGAGTTGGCGTCGCATCGGAATCCTCCATTGATGTTTCAAAGTTGAAATCATGCGATTCTTCTGATTCTTCAAATTGAGTTAGAGTCGCATTTTGTGTTTCTGTAAAGCACTTTGTCATCATTGCGATTTCATTAAAATTTTCCATTAATGTTTCGAGGTCGGATTTATAGGATACTTGCGTCTCCTCGAAATATTGGGTGTAGTGATTGTAGGGGAAATTTGGTTGAGGATAAGTTTGGTTGGAATTATAATATTCTTGCGATTCCTCAAAATATTGGGATTGGTGGTTGGAAAGGTAATTCGGGTGAGAATGAGTCTGTGATGCATTGAAATTCTCCAATAGTATTTCGAGGTCGGATTTATGGGATACTTGTGATTCCTCGAAATACTCACAGTGGGGGTTGTAGAAATAATTTGGGTGATACATAGTAATTGGGACAAGATTCGTAGATGCAAAGACTCGTTTTGAGAACGAGTGTTTGGCATACAACAGAGGGAAATATAAAAAGTTGCCTTAGTCTAGACAGCGTTGTTTTCAGATTACACTAGTGACTAAACTAAAGTCCCCGGCAACGGCGCCAAAAACTTGATGTGTCTGCGATCGACTTAATGTCTGACGGTATCTTAACTGCAAGCGCACAGCCTATCGCGGTAGTAATAAAAGATTGTCGAATCCACAGGGACTTTGTAATCACTCTAGTGTTGTAAAACAGGTTAGTTTAGCTAAGGCGGAAATTGTCACGTTTGGTTTTGGGAAGGTTAAGGAAGGTAAACTAATTGATTTTAAAGTAATTATAAAATGAAATGGTCGGTATGCAATAGAGTCGACCTAAAGGATCTAATCGGACCTAGGCATATAGGGATGGTCAACTTGGTTTATCTGTAGAATTAATCAGTTTAAAAACCCTCAACTCACACTTTCATGGTCTTATCTCGGATTATACGTCTAAAGCCCTATACCTGCTTTCGCTAGCCTATAAGTGTTTAGAAGTATTTTTTGGAAACTTAATTAATTCTAATTTGGTTTAAAGCGCTTTCACTGTATTTAAATCAAATGCCTAACTTTAGCTATCCGGTTAAAAACCTCACACTTTCGTGGTCTCGATCTAACCTATTTACTCTTCTTACTTTCGTAACAAAGGTTTTATTTTTAAGCATAAAAAGTTATAACCAGAGTTAAGTAGATTAAAGTTTTAGCCTAAGTTTGATCAGATGCCTAATGTCTCTTACTATCCCATACCGATGCTAAAGGTTTAGCTAGCCATGGAAATTATAATGAACGTACTGGAAATAAAAACAAACAAATATAGATTGGACATTATAAATAATAAATTAAACATGCATTAATTAATTAAAAGGTATGTAATACAATTGCAAAATAGAAACCTGAAAATAAAGCCAATACTTCAATCCCTCTTCCACAAATCGGAAACTCGGACTTGGTATCGGTAATATGACAAATTCTGAGGCTTGAATAATAAATCCTAAACTATAATAGTAATTTCCTGATGTTGGAAATTATTATTTGGGCAATGAAATTAAAAGAATGAAAATAAACGAATGCAGAAAAATAACAACTGAAGGAATAATGGGTTTGATTTCGGCAGAGCTTCCGCACAAGTAAAGTGTAAAATGCTCCCCCCCTCTAACGTTGAATGTTGAGGTATTTATAGAGGAATGAATTTGGCAGTTGGCTTGAAGACTTGTAACGAAGCTTTCCTTAAAAATCTCCACAAATGTAGGAACGTGGGTAGTTGAGGAAGAAGTGGTGAACGTGGGGTTTGACTGGAGAGAAATAAGGAGTTTGAAAACTCCTTCTGTTTTGCTTTGCCATGATCTGCACTTTCAAATAACTGGTATGCGCATTACGATCGTCACTGAGGCGTTACGAGCAGGTTTGGTGTTTCTCCGTGTTACGGTCGTGGCAGATGTGTTACGGTCGTAACATGCTTCATGATGGCTTACGGTCGTGGCAGATGTGTTACGACCGTCACAGCTACAAAATCTGTAATTCTTGACAGATTTATCTTTTTCTTCTATTCTTTTGATGCTTTCTTTCATTGTTTCATGTTTTCTTCTGTTTTGAGCTGAGTTATGAATACCTGCAAAAAGTAATGACAAACTCGAAATATTCGGGAGTTAATCGGGTCAAAATGATACAGAACGGGTAAATTTCATGGAAAATAAACGATACAATTTCGTGTTATCAATGCTTACAACAATGACCGACCAGTCGCAAGAAGAGATCAATGCTTCTAATTTGCTCGATGTTAAGGTCTTGACTAAACCATACATGATTCTTGAGATGAATCTTTCAGAAGCTTTAAGTGAAACCTTATTCGTTGTTGATGCTTCTAACTTGAGTAGTTATCAAGTCATTGAGTCATCAATTTTTGATTTTTTTATGGCTTCCATAATCAAAGGTTTTCTTCCTTTTGTTGTTGGTCACGATTGTTATAGCAAGGAGAAGACAACAAATGATGTAGATAACAAGCGACTAGGGTATTTACCAATGACCGTCATAAGAGATTTCAATCTCGCCCTTACCCTGCCTACACTTCTTCTCTCAGATCCAACTAACTTAGTATCCATTTCGCCTCCTTTGCTCGCCCCACCATGGCTACAACGCTCAATTTACTCAAGACCACTTAAGGCCCCACCCTCATCCAAGGTAAACAACCTTCCTCTCTATTTCCAATTTGAACAAAATAGTTTATTTGAAACTCATTCTCACTGTACACCCACAATTGGTAGTCGAATTTCTAGTGTGTATATGTTAAAATGTTCATCATATGCTTATACTAATATTGTGTCCTCATGTGAAGCCCGCAATCTATTTGTTAAAATGCTCAACCCACGTGAGTTCTCTTGTGTCATTTTTACAAGTCTATTGAGTATGATGTGAATCCCTGCAAGAGTTGAACAAGTTGATATGTGTTGCAACAGAAAGAGAAGAATAGAGAGAGAACTCAGAGATTGGAAGAATGAGAGATTCTTTATTTTTCATACTGCATAGCTATTACAATTGGACTTGCTACTTAAAGCAATGTAACAAACTAACTGAAAAACTAACTAATTGGTTATCTAACAAACTTTAACCAATCAGTCCTATATTTGAATTATTCTTTCAACACTCCCCTCTAATTCAAACTCCTTAGTGATACCACACTAAGCTCCTTCCTCATCTTGTCAAAACGATCAACCCTCAATGCTTTGGTAAATGCATCTGCAACCTGCTCTTCTGTTGAACAATACTCCAGCTCTAACCTTCCCTTGTGTACTCGCTCCCTCAAGAAATGGAACCTCACCTAGATGTGTTTGCTCCTCCCATGGGACACAGGGTTCTTGGCCAAGGTTATTGCAGAAACATTATCAATAAGCAGCTTCAAGGGCTTCTCCACTTCAATCTGCAAGGCTTTCAACAATTCATCTAACCAGAATGCTTGACAAGCTGCAGATGAACCAGCAATATACTCTACCTCACAAGAGCTTAATGCTATCACAGATTGTTTCCTTGAAGACCATGAAATAGGAGCTCCAAAGAACCTAAACACATACCCTGATGTGCTCTTTCTCTCATCCAGATCTCCTCCATAATCCGAATCTGAAAAACCTGTCAGCAATGCCTTTTGTGACTTAGCTTGATTTGGAAACAGTATTCCAAAATCATGAGTTCCTTGCAGGTATCTCAGTATCCTCTTAGCATCTCCCATATGAGTTTGCTTGGGATCACTCATAAATCTACTCACAAGACCCACTGCATAAGAAATATCAGGCCTGCTTGAACACAGAAACCTCAGTGACCCTACAATCTGCTTGAACAATGTAGGATCTGCAGCTTCACCAACATCATTTCTTCTCATCTTGACATTTACCTCAGCAGGTGTATTTACTGGATTACAACCATCCATGTTAAACCTCTTAAGGATATCACTCACATACTTACTTTTATGCATAAGTAAACCATATGATGTTCTAGTAAACTGCATTCCCAGAAAATAGGTTAACTCACCTAGATCTGTCATCTCAAACTCTAAGCTCATAACCATCTTGAATGCTTCAATGTCATTCACATTTGATCCTGTCACTAGCAGATCATCAACATAGAGGCAAATGATCATGATGTGCTCATCTCCTTGTTTCTTCACATAGACTCCATGCTCCACTGAACACTTAATGAATTTCAGCTGCTCCAAGAAGTTATCAATTCTCTTATTCCAGGCTCTTGGAGCCTGCTTGAGTCCATAAAGCACTTTGTTAAGTTTGTAGACTTTGTGCTCTTGGCCTTTGATCTCAAACCCTGGTGGATGTGTTACATAAACTTCCTCATCCAATGGACCATTCAGGAATGCTGATTTTACATCCAGCTGATGTAAACTCCACTGCCTTACATTAGCCATAGCAACAACCACTCTTATTGTCTCTATCCTAGCCACAGGAGCAAAAACTTCTGTATAATCCAGTCCATGCCTCTGCAAGAACCCTTTAGCAACTAACCTTGCTTTGTGTTTAGCTATTGATCCATCAGGATTTAACTTTAGCTTATACACCCATTTAACTCCAATTGGAACTTTATTCTGAGGTAGAGTTACTAACTCCCAAGTATTGTTCCTCTCAATTGCCTTAAGCTCATCAACCATTGCCAATCTCCACTTTGATTGCTTCAGGGCTTCATTGAGATCAAGTGGCTCAGAATCTTCCATAAGTGCATAATGGATTAGTTCACCCTCCTCAGAAATGTCAGCATCACTTGCCATTTCAAATTCATTGAACCTGGCAGGTAGATTTCTTTGTCTTTGTCTTTGTCTTTGTATTGCAGGTAGCTGTTCCTCACTCTCTCCATCAGTGACTTGTTCTTCAAGCATCTCTGGTGCAATGTGAACCTTGTTGAGACTAGTTTGTTTCAACCTCCAGTCCCAGTGCTCATCTTCTACAACATGAACATCCCTGCTAAAACAAGATTGTCTTTTCACAGGATCAAACAATTTATATGCACCTGTTGGATGATACCCTATAAGAATCATTGGTTCACTTTTGATTTCTAGCTTCCTCCTCCTCTGATCAGGTACATGCTTGAAGCATAAAGACCCAAAAATCCTCAAATGGCTAACAAAGGGCTTCTTTCCTGTCCACACCTCAAGTGGTACTTGCTTCCTCAATCTCTTTGTAGGGCATCTGTTTAGAATATAACAGGATGTGGAAACTGCTTCCCCCCAAAACTCTTGTGGCAAGTGCTTCTCCCTCAGCATGCTTCTTGTCATGTTAAGTAGAGTTCTATTTCTCCTCTCAGCCAAGCCATTGTGCTGAGGAGTATAGGGTGCAGTCTTCTCATGTTGAATACCACTTTGTGAACAAAATTCTTCAAATTCATGTGAAGTATACTCTCCACCACCATCAGTCCTTAACACCTTCAGAAGTTTACCACTTTGTCTCTCAGCTTCTGCCTTGAATCTCTTGAACACACCAAGTGCTTCATTCTTGGCTTTAATGAGAAATAGCCATAACATTCTGCTGAATTCATCCACAAAAGTGATGAAGTATCTATTTCCACCATGTGAATTAACTTCAAAGGGTCCACAAATGTCAGAGTGAACAACCCCAAGAATATCATTAGCTCTCATGGCTAATTCAGCAGTGAAAGATTTCCTTGTCTGCTTCCCTGTAAAGCAGGTTTCACAAATCTTCTCTGGGATAGTTGTTGTTGGTAATCCCAAGACCATACCATCACTTCCCAGGTGGTGTAAACTTCTGAAATTCAAGTGACAAAATCTAGCATGCCACAACCAATTTGACTCCATGCCTTGTAATGATCCTGAGGCTTTCAAGCAATGAACCTCAGATGCTTTAATGTTAACCTTGAAGGTTCTATTTTCTGAAAGTGGAGCCTTCAAGATCAATCTTCCTTTAGCATCAAACAGATCGAAAAAGTTCTTCTCCATAATGACCTTGAACCCTTTCTGAATCAGCTGGCCAATGCTCAACAGATTGCAAGTCATTCCAGGGACATACAACACATCTTCTATTATTGTAGTTCTACCATCCTTTCTATGAATTGCAACACTTCCAATCCCTTTTATGTCAAGTGTTATGTCATCAGCAAACTTAATCGTGCTTCTTCTAGTTTCATCTAAGTCAATTAGCCATTCTCTATGACTAGTCATGTGATTAGAACAACCCGTATCTAAATACCACAAGTTTGATTTAGAATTTAAAGAAACAGAAGAATCTTTAGAGCTGGTGGTTACCATGAGAAGCAGGGGTTCTTGATCTGAATCCTCATGAGCTGCATTGGCCTCATTGTCACCCCTTCTCTGTTCACTTCTACCATTTGGACATTCTCGTGCAAAATGACCAATCTTCCTGCAATTGTAGCATTCAACTTTCTTCTTGTCCACCCTTTGATTCTTGCCAGAATTCCTCTCATGACCACCACGTTGTTGTGAAGAACCACTTTTGTGATCATCATCTCTCGAAGAGGACCAAGATTCTCCTTTGGCCTTGCCTTTGCTTTTCCATTTGCCTTTGCCTTTCTCATCATACACCTTCTTCGATGTCTAAGCCTTCAACGCTTGATCTTGGTGATTCCTCTCAGTCACTCGATCTTGAAGACGTAATTCATGAGCCTCCAACGAACTTTGCAGTTCCTCAAGCTTCATCTCCTCCAAATCTTTGGATTCCTCGATCGCCACTACTATGTAATCAAATTTCACCGGTAAAGATCGCAAGATTTTCTCAATCACCATCAAATCTGTGATTGTTTCACCACACCCTTTCATCTGATTGATCAGTGTCAGAATCTTGGTGAAATACGCTCCAATTGTGTCGTTCTCCTCCATGTGCAAGCTCTCATATTGCTTGCGTAAAGATTGCAAGCGAACCTTCTTCACCTTCTCCCCTTCGGCGTGACATCGTTGAATGATATCCCAAGCTTCCTTTGCACTGGTTGCCTTGGAGATCTTCTCAAAATGCGCATCGTCCACGCATTGATGAAGAAGAAACATCGCCTTGCAGTCCTTCTTCTTCGCCTCCTTGTTCGCTGCTTTCTGTGCCTCACTAGCTCCGGTTGCCAACGCTGGAACCCCAGATTCCACCACTTCCTGGATGTCCTGAAACCCAAACTGCACCTTCATTTTGATGCTCCATCGTTCCCAATTCTTCTCAGTAAGAACGGGCAGTGTGGTGGGAAGGTTTCCATGGGCACTATTCATGGCTACGGATTTCAATTGCACAGACTCACAGCTTCGTCTCCTTCAATTTTTCCTCAGGCCCCTTTCGAAACTCTTGCTCTGGATACCAGTTTGTTGGAACAGAAAGAGAAGAATAGAGAGAGAACTCGGAAATTGGAAGAATGAGAGATTCTTTATTTTTCATACTGCATAGCTATTACAATTGGACTTGCTACTTAAAGCAATGTAACAAACTAACTGAAAAACTAACTAATTGGTTATCTAACAAACTTTAACCAATCAGTCCTTTATTTGAATTATTCTTTCAACAATATGGACACCGCTAACTATGTTGTAAGTTATATTTTGTTTCATAATAATCACAATTGCTGGAATTGTTCTTCATCTAGTGGCTTTATGTTCGAGTTTGGTTTAATTTCCAATATTGTATCATACTCATTTCCATATGATTTAATCGTTAACTTTGCTTGTGATTCTCGAGGTATGATTCTTAATCATAATGTGAGTTGTTGTGATTTTGTGAGTCTTTTTCTATTATATTGGTGAAAATGTACTGCTTTCAGAAAGCCTTGAACCTTTTGCGCATGATTTTTTTAACATTTCAGTGGAACACAAAGAATCATTTTATGACTATTTCATTGGCTTTGCATTTGAACACTCTTATATTTCTCTTGGCCTTGATAAATTTGTTAATAATGTTCCAGAAGCATATCTAATT